GCTAGTCCCCAGCACCGTGCCTGGCCCACGGTCAGCCTCAGTACGTACGTGTGACTGGGATAATACTCCTGATGCTCTGTTAACCGCAAATCACAGTCTTCACTTTGAGCTCCAGTGTGGCTTGTGCCAGTTCTGTGAACTTCACAGGAGAAGGATTTTTTTGTACAGATTCATGAGTGGAAGAGAGTTAAGTTGTCATTGTTGTTAGCTGCTGTTGAGTCAGCTCTGACCCATGGTGACCCTGTGTGTAACAAAATGCCACCCAGTCCTCTGCCATCTTCACGGTCACTGAATCTAGTCAGACAACGTTGTGTTCTGATCCATAGGGCTTTTATTGGCTAATTTTTGGAGGTAGATAAATCAGATATTCTTTTCTAGTCAGTCTTAGTCTGGAAGCTCTGCTGAAACCTGTCCATCAGGGCTGACCCTACTGGTACTTGAAATACCAGTGGCATCGCTTCCAGTATCACAGCAACACACAAGACACAGCAGTACGACCAACTGACAGATGGCATAGGTTTTGAAATTTAATCAGTTATATAGAAATTTGCTGTCGTCTTTATAATTATAATTGTGAAATGTTCACGTAGTTTAATGGCTCTTAACTTAGATTCCCACAGAGTACAAGTTATAGGCCAGTGCTGTCAACAGAGCTTGCTGTGATGCTGGAAATACCTGTACCAGCACTGTCCGGTACAGTAGTCATTAGCCAGATGTGGTAGGTGAGCACTTCAAATGTGGCTGTTGTGACTGAGGAACTAAATTTGAAATTTTGTTTACTTTTAATTAAATTTAAATAGCCACGTGTGACTGAAGGCGACCATTTAGGCAGCACAGTTATAGACTGTACTGTTTTCCAGTCACTCTTTTGCAGAGTTCTGTCCCTGTTTATCATAGTCTTTTCGGTAGTTGGTATGTTAAACATTTCCCAACCCAACCCTGCACTCCTCTGCCTTTAATTGTGTTTGGAGAGCTGCTTATAAAGCTTTGGACACTGAGTTTGTTTAAGTGTGCTTAGACAGTGGTTTCAATTACATGCTGTCTTCTCTTTTCCTCTTTCGTTAAACTGAAGGACGAAGTCGATGGAGCTGTACAAGGGCTCCTTCAGCTGAAGGCAGAGTACAAGTCTCTGACAGGGGTAGAGTATAAACCCATCTCTGCCACTGGGGCCGAGGACAAAGATAAGAAGAAGAAAGAAAAGGAAAATAAATCTGAAAAGCAGAATAAACTCCTGAAACAGAACGATGGTCAAAGGAAGGACTCTCCTAAAACTCCAGGAAGTGGGCAGTCATCAGGGGGGCCAGGAGAAGGGCAAGGGCCGAAGAAACAGACCAGGTAATGAGACATGGAAATGTAGTTTGAAGTGAAGCAGAAAGTTTTATATGAATTGAGGTCCGAATTATTTTTTAAGAAAAAACATCTTTTGGTTAGTTTGGCTAACGCATTAAGACAGAAGTGAAGCTACAACTGTGTCAGCAGCTAGGTGTTGCTAATTTTCAGTTCTCTTTAATTCTCTAAACAGGTAGTGTATTCGTTTGCTTGCTTGAGACTCTCAGACCCTTGTGTCTATCTGCCCGCTTCCCCCGTCGCCGTAATGAGTTGCTAACTGCTGTTCTTTGTTTCTTCTGTTTCCGTTCAGAAATATTCATTTGATTTTACAAGGAAATAGAAATATATATGTTCCTTTTTTCCCCCCGTTTTAACGCGACTGGTAGACTATACCCTTGTTTTGCACCTTAATAAGATTTTTCAAATCAGTCTTTTGTGGGGGATGGGAACTTCATTCTTTGTAGGATTTTTAAATTGGCAGTTTAAATATAAAATGAAGCTAGCGGAAAGACAAAACGGTGGGTTAGATGGTTTTTCAGCATCTTTCAGTCTACATGAATAATAAAATTCCTCTGTCTGTCCCCACCCCCATCCCAAAGTTAGAGTGAACATTGTAACAGGTTTTGTTTAATGGCTTAGTGATTTAAAGAAAAAAAGAAAAGGCTGTTAGCAACTTGGAATTCAGTAATCCCTCTCTAATGCATTTTTTTTTAATTGTCTTTTTTTTTTTTTATCGTGCTTTAGGTGAAAGTTTACAGGTCAGGTAACCTTCTCATACAAACACTTACACACATACCATTATGTGACCCTAGCTGCTCACCCTATAATGCGACCACAACCTCCTCCTTTCTCTAACTGCATTTTCGACAACTGCTATTTTGAGGTGGAGTTTCTGGGTGGTGCAAACGGTGAACGTGCTTGGCTGCTAACCAAAAGGTTAGAGGTTCAAGTGCAGCCAGAGGTACCTCTGAAGAAAAGCCTGGCAATCTCCTTCTAAAAACTCGGCCACTGAAAACCCTATGGAGGACAGTTCTACTCTGACACACGCAGGGACTCCATGAGTTGGAGTCGACTCAACAGCAGCTGTTTGTGTTTTTTTGAGATAATACGGTTTCAGATTTGTTTAGTTGAAATTGGGCTGCTTCTTATCTCGTTATACACACAGTGTTTCCTTAAACAAGAGAATACAACCGTTACTTTTCTTTTTACCCGTTGACTGGGTGACTGGATTTGTAGACTAATGGAAGAGAGTGTAGAACTTCCCACCTTTCATCTTGGAATACAGGAGTAGATCCCAGCCTGAGAACACATGTCGTAGGCACCCTGGCTGCTTTTGAAGGGCCAGATTCCCCGCAGGCGTCTTGTTGGCATGTGCAAGGTCAAACAAGAAGGAGTGCAGATGCACAGCACGTTAAAAATTTAAACCAAGAAAGCCTTACTCGGAAACGCCTAGACGGCCTGACTGAAAGTGGATTTTTCTCCGTGGATCATGAGTAATTGTTGGTGTTTCAAGAAAAGGTTTATCATCTGGAATAGGTGTTTATTGCAGATAGATCTGGTTTATTTTGGAAACATCTCTCTCTGCAACTTTTACTTGCCATGGTTAGAATGCATACACCTCTGTTACATACACGTGTGTGTTTGGGTAGTCTTTGTTTTTATAGTTAGAATGCATCCACCCCTGTGAATATATACATGTCTGTACTTGGGTAGTCTTTAGTTTTATAGTTAGAATGCATCCACCCCTGCTATATATACATGTGTGTGTTTGGGTAGTCTTTGTTTTATATTACTTTTTACTTTCTGTGAGACAACTGTCTTACTAACTATAATTTTACCAGGACTGAAGTTGGCAAAAGATTACTCTTCTTTTTTTTTTGTGGGAGAATACTATCTGACTAGACTGTCTTTTATTGCAAGTACATTATTTTAAAAAGACCTTTGTAAAAAGAGATGTTTGTATTAAAATCATAGCTTTTGTTATACTTAGCTTGCCTGGTTTTGGGGGGCAAGATCTCACCGCCTTTTAAGAGATAACTGTACTTTTTTTTGGCTAAAAACATTTTCTTGGGAATGAATATAAAAGAGATACAGAGGTGACTCATACTGAATAAGAACTAATCTATTTTGGATTTTAGAGGTTTATTTCCATTCAGCCTGAAAACAATTGCTAAATGAAGGATTTATTTTTAATATCTGCAGGTTGGGTCTGGAGGCAAAAAAAGAAGAAAATCTTGCAGATTGGTATTCTCAAGTGAGTACGCGTTCAATTGATTTTTATGTTTTAAAAAATTCTTAATGGCCTCTCTGTTTAAATTCTCAAGTCCAGGCACAAAGTTAAAGTAATAATGTGTAATGCCTTTAATAATACATCTTATAGTCATTTAACGTGTCAGAGTTTCCAAAGCATGTTCACATAAAGTAGTAAATTGAGAAGAAAGAAGTTCTATGAGGTTGGCAGTACTTGATTTTTCTTTCATGGTGAGGTAAAGGACTTAGTCTAGTGTCAGAAAGATACTGAAAATAGCAGAGGTGGGATTGGAATTCAAGTCTTCTTAGGAGTATAGAGCCCTGTTATATATCCTTTCTCAGCATAGAAAGGTCCATTGTACTCCATTATGGGCTTTCCACATTAAGAGGATGTAGCTACAGCAGAAGTCTCCAGATTTGAAATACTCTTGCCACTTGTACCATACTTCTTGTTCAACTTAGGCTTTAAAGACTATATTTTTCCTTATTAAAAGGTCATCACAAAGTCAGAAATGATTGAATACTATGACGTAAGTGGCTGCTATATTCTGCGTCCCTGGGCGTACTCCGTTTGGGAAATCATCAAGGACTTTTTTGATGCTGAGATCAAGAAACTTGGTGTTGAAAACTGCTATTTCCCCATATTTGTGTCCCAAGGTGCATTAGAGAAAGAGAAGACTCATATTGCTGACTTTGCCCCTGAGGTATGTTTGTTTTATTTTTTGCAGTTCTCTCTCAGAAACTCAAAAGCGTATTTTCAGTTCACACTTGATTAGTAATTTAACCAGTTTAGAGAAATGTAAAACCAATTTTTAAAACATTATATTTCTGCCTTTGCAGGCAACTGATGATTCTGTTTGTCACTTTCACTGATTAACTGGTTTTTCCTTTTCCTTTTTACTTTGTGGAAGGTCAGTAAGTATGTACCCTCCTCATAGCCCACAACAGCAATTGTTAACCGTACTTAACTGGTACAGAGAAAATTGAAAGAGAAAACTCCCTGCATTTGTGCTGTTGTGCTCAAATGCTGTTGAAAAAAATGTATCTAAAATTATTTTTTCTTACTAGGTTGCTTGGGTTACAAGATCTGGCAAAACAGAGTTGGCAGAACCAATTGCTGTTCGTCCTACTAGTGAAACAGGTGAGGCTGGGCCTTGGAATGCAGGAGAAAGCTCCCTGAAACAGTAGGAACAGCTTGCAGAGTTGAGCCTCAGCTCTTGTTTTGTGATGTGTATAATCCTTGTTGACGATACAAAGTTTAATGAATGCTGATAAAGATTGAATGCAAACATAAGTTGTGTAGAATTTTATTCTGTATACAATAGCCATTGCAAAGCTCCTTATCATTAGGATAAAGGTTTTTTTGTTGTTGTTGTTGTTTTGCTTTAAAACACTGTCATCACTGTTTATTTCAAGATACATTTTTTTCAGAGCTTTCCAAATAATTTTATTGGAATTGATTACCTAAAATTGCAAACACTATTTTATTTTACTGTCTATTTATTTATAGCTTTTGTTAGTCGTATTAATAATAATACATTTACATTTATGTATTTTTTTTTTGTAAGTTACTAAGTGCTTTCATTTACATTATCTCGCTTTTTCTCATAGCAGTGTTGTGAGGAAGGTAGGTCAACTGTTGTTAGCTCCATTTTGCAGATAGAGAAGAAAGTCTCTGCAAGGTTAAGTGATTTTCTTAAAATCCCACTCCTAAAATTATGAGTCAGAATTAACTCGATGGCAGTGGGTTTGGTTTTTTTTTTTGGGAATTCTGAACCTTTGGGCTTGTTAATGTCTTCCAAAATGATTATCCATCTTTACAGTTAAGGACTAATTGCTGTGTGATACTTCTAGTGATAACTCTTACATAATTTTATAATGATGCATTATTAAAATTATGACCGTAACTTGTTTTTCACTTATCAGATTGGCATCTTTTTTTTTGTTTTTTACTGATTATATATAGTCATGAGTAGGTGGTGGTAAGACAAGGACCTTGACTTAGCAGTTCATGACAAGATCCTTCATTTCTGGATAGATAAGAGATTGAAAAATACATCAAATATTAGCAGTAAAGGTAGTCCCCGATGTACAACATATTTGAGTTACGGTGAACCGTACTTTAAAACCATCTGTTTTGTTGATCCATCTTATTATTAGTAATATGTACTATATACAGTGTTGTAGTGTATAATTTGCTGATGTTGTCATTCTTATGCTAACCCCCCCAAAACAAATAAAGATACCGATAATAAAAGACAATAATAATGAAAACTAAAAAAATAATGAGGTATTCAACTTACGTCAGAACCGACTTCAAGACAGCGTTGTTGGAACAGAACCCTATTGTATGTTGGGGACTACCTGTATTTATATTTGAGAGTGTGATTATAGTTAATTTTGACTTTCATGCTTTATTATATATTCTGAATTTTCGTTTTGTGACCATATTACTTTTTAATTAGAAAAACGTATAAAAAGACTAATCTTAACATAGTAAGTAAATTAACCCAACAGCCAGAGTGCCTGCATTGTTTAGTGTTCATTATAAGTGCAGGTTTGCAGATTTCAGTGTTTCCTGCCACGGAAATCTCTGAAGCCCAGTTTTTAGAACTTACTGAGAGGCAGTATTATGTATTGGACGTTGGCTCGGTTAGATCTAAATTCTGGTTCCAATACTTAACTCTGGTAGAGTTCTCTAAACTCACCTTCCACATTGTAAAAATTGAGATTATGATATCTACTTTGTGGGTGGAATGAGAATTGAACAGTATAATGAATGCAAAGAACTTCACACAGAACCTGGCATGTACTTTAAGATCCTCAGTTCATGCTTTTGAAAACATAAATAAGACAGATAAAAAGAAATCAAATTAAAGTCAATCTTAAATGTAAATCTCATTGTGAAGAATGTAAAGTGTGGTCCAGTTTAGATAGATTTGTATCTGTGAGTAATGTTACCATTCACCTACCATTACAGTCATTGGAAGGTTTAACTCTTCCCAGCCTTCAAGGAGAAGCAAAACCTTAAGTGTCTAACTCTGTCTCTGTTTCGCTGTGTCTTCCAGTCATGTATCCTGCCTATGCAAAATGGGTACAGTCACACAGAGACCTGCCCATCAGACTCAATCAGTGGTGCAATGTCGTGGTAGGTACACACCCTTCCCTGCATCCTCTCACTTCCTCTTTATTCATTTCAAACACACAAACACACACGCACACCCGCTTAGTTTTTCCTTATTTTCATATTTCAAAGCAGTGGGAGTATGAAAGCATTTTTTAATCATTTGAAGTATTTTGAATTAGCATTAAAATTTTCCTGTCACTTACCACATAAAGTTGTTAGTAAAAACTGAAAAGCTCTCTATAATGTCTAAATCGTTCTTCTTGTCTCTTAACAGCGTTGGGAGTTCAAGCATCCTCAGCCTTTCCTACGTACCCGTGAATTCCTCTGGCAGGAAGGGCACAGTGCCTTTGCTACCTTTGAAGAAGCAGCAGAAGAGGTATAAACAATTGTCTTCCATGTGAATTATGCTCTGTTTCTTTGTCCAGGCTCCACTTTCTGTTTCAGCTATAAGTAATGTAGGTGCTATCAATTCACATAGTAAATATTTAATAAATAACTAAGTTGAAATTTGATCTGGTATCAAAGTAACACTAAAAATAATTGTTATAAATTATTTTGTTATTTAAAATTTATCACTTCTTAAAAAATAATTAAATGTATTTGGATTTAAGACACTGCTTATTGAAATTTTATTAGTAAATGCAATATTGTGTTGTTTTAAAATTTTATATGAAAATATTTTGAACTTTAATGTATGGAAGAAATTGTAAGCCCATGGGTAAAATTAATTATTCTTGGGGAGATTTTTTTTTTTTTTTTTTAAATATTTTATTGTACTTCAGGGGAAGGCTTACAGAACAGATAGTTTCTCATATAACAGTAACACACATGCTGTTTTATGACATTGGTTAACAACCCCACAACATTTTAACCCTCTAAATTCTCAACTTTTT